AGTCTCCACCCAAATGTCATCACTGCTGGTTGATTGGAGGGCTAATGAAAGGGTTTGTGCAAAGTCCTCATCCAGGGATTACCGATAAGGTCAACTGAGGGGTCAGAGCACGGCAAGAGGAGCACAGGTGGATTGTGCGCAGTAGGATAAGAAACCAGTAGACGTAGTCAAGTGAACTTACGGTGAGAGGAATTAAAAAACCATCTTCAGTAATTCGAAAATCTTGATCATTTGTAATGGCTCTGTAGGTTGAGAGAGTATTGTTGCCAAAGTCTGCATCGGGTGCCACCAGTTCTGCACAACTTGTGCCCACCACCGAGTTCTCGGGACAGGCGACCATTGAATTGGGAAAAGGCCAGCGGGGATACTGATTGTTGATGTCTTCTAGACGAATTTCTACCACCGCATACGCGTACCCCTTCTGATTGTTCGCCATCACAGAAATGCTAAAAACCTATTCCAATCAACCAATCAGAATCAAGTTGACTGGTACAAATGGAGACACCGCATTGTGTTTCCAGGGGAAGACCGAAAACCCAAATTTTATCGTAAATGGATTAAATAGACCCCATAAAGCCTTTATAGTAGAAGGATACTGAGCTACTTGTAATGTGACTATCCTTTCTAATTCGCATCCCTTCAGCCATCCCCATGGACACTCGAACGCCCAATCGGCTTGCAGGTGAAGGACGAATTGTCATAAGGCGGGCACCGAAGCCCTGCACACACCATCACCAGACTGCGGCTGAGAGCTTTAAGGCCGTTGTTCAATTACAGCGAATGAATGTTGATTGTGGAGTGAGTTGGTGAAATCTTTTTACCTCTTAAAATCTGCTACCCTTATAGAATAAGATTGTTTAAGGATAAAAAACCAGGTCTTACCGGCTGTCCAACCGGTTTGTCTCTTGGCATTCCTTTGATGATACTCACTTGACCGGTTTCTGAATTTATGCCGAAATAGCTGATGAAGAAGCCACCGAGGGAGTAGACTAAGTGTTTCTGCTCATTGGGATCAACTGCTGAGGGTTGGTTGGGCTAAAGAGGGACAAACCTGAACTTTGAAGGAAGGCAGAGATTTTCTCGATTGCAGATTTTCTAGAGGAGGCACAACTTACAAGATTGGGTGCATTAACCACGGAGAGTTCAGTCACAGTGTTGGTGTAGACGGACTGCGTAAACTCCGGTAAGCGTTCGTTGGTGGAGACGATTTCAATAATCATCGTTCCCACAATTTCACATTCTCCGTCATTCACCGAGACGGTGTACGTTTGGGTCTGTGAGGCAATAAAAAAGATTGCAAAAAGGAAAGTGGATACACTCAAAAGGCTACAACTTAATTGTTCGAGGTAGTCAGAATACGCACTTTTTCCACAGCCAAAGCAAGTGGTCGAACCACTTTGACTTGGCCAGAAACAGAAATGACAGCAAAATTATCAGAGCTTCCCACCATCGTATAGACAAGCACTGACGTCTCATCGCTGTCTGTGGCATCAATCTTGCCTATCACTTCCCCCACACCGACGGACTCCCGAACAGTTATTTTCAGTTCAGGTTTAGTGAATCGAGGACACTGATCATTCTGATCCAACAGGAACACAGTAAGAGGCAATTCAGCTGAAAAGGCATCAATGAGTTGATGCAACAGGATGACAGGTGTGCAATGAAGTGGTGCTGTGTGGTGATGTCAATGTCAAAAGTGCTCAACTAACCCGAATTTGGTCGACCTTGATTGGCTTGAAGTGAAGAGGCATCACTGTCCTCGGCCTTCACTTTCAACACGTAATTCTTCTTCTTTTCAAAGTCGAATTGACCGGTCACAGTGAGCAATAAGTCCTCCTTGATTGCAAAATTTGAAGCATCGGTGGTTGGCAATAAGGAATACTTAATCTGAAATGAATGAGGAATCAAAGGAAGTTTTTAGGCTTTTGATACCAGTTTTGTGTCACAACACGGAGAGGTGGAAGCAAAAGTGAGGCTAGACGAGATTTGGAAACTCTAGTCGTCTCTTTTAATCCAACAACGTGTCTCTTACCTGATTGAATTTTGGTGTTGGATCCAAATCCACAGCAAAGAGCTTCAACACCTCCGTTCCCATGGGAGAATTTTCAAGAAGACCCACTTCAGACAAACTGAACTGATCAATAAACTGAGGCATCATGTTGTTGACGTCCTCCAATTGGAAAGTTATCACCACATCAGAACAAATGTCCTCCCGACTTGGATCTGTGGGCTGTTGACAGGCTCGAGCTCTCACAATGTAGCGATTGAGTCGCTGATAGAGAAAATTTGAACCCGAGTAGATGATCAGCGTGGGTCGCCCTTCAGCGGAGTAGACAACCTGACTGGTGAACGGTGGTGGACTGTTGATCCAACCCGTCTGCTCAAAGGCTCCAGGAATGTATGCAATGGAATAGTCGTAGACGGCTCCAGGCCAAGGTGTGGCCACAATCTTTGCCAATTCTTGATTATAACTATTCTCTCGGAACTTTTGAACCCTATTTAAATCCACCGAAGCAAAATTCAGGTGGTCTTTAAGACGAGGCATTGAATATCCAGCTAAAATCAACTTACACAAGTTCGGTTTTGATGACGGGAGGAAGGAGTTGAGGTGTGGTGGATGTAATCACGGTTACAGTAGCCAACTGCCATGTCCTCCAGGTTCCGGCTAGGGGGACAGGATTTCTAGCTCGGACTTGAAATGTATAGGTTGGCTATAAAAGAAGGAAAATGAACAGATAAGATGCGCTGTGCAGTACAAGAGAGTGTCGCTGATTTCCACAGCCTAGT